GGCATCTGGGGCAAAAATCTGTAACCAAACCCACCTTTATCTAGCAGGGAAATACATGAATGTTCATACTAAGTGGCACATATAAAAGACTATCAGTTAACTTTATTTTTTTCCTGCTCATGTTTTTCTGTCAGGTGTTATGACAAACCTTTAGTTTTCAGAATTTCTTGGATTTTGAAATTGTAATTAAATGATGGTGTATCTTTTTTACATTCTTAACTGTCATTGCATTATTTTTCATTTTCTCTGTGTAGCTTTTTCTGAGGAATAGAGACATAATTTTTATACATTATTTAAAAAGCTTGTTACTGTATTTGTCTACATGAATTTATGTCTTTGTTCTTACCATGACAATGTACGTATTTCCTGTGGTTATTATCATTTGGTATTTTAAAAATAAATTTCAGTGTCTAAAAGTTATGGAAGAGTTAGTTCCTTAGTATTTTAATCTCTACTGATAGAGAATTTTTTCATAGTATCACATTATTTGTACAGTATTTACTACATTATCATCATGTTAATTAGTTCAAGTGTCTACATAAAAGTCTTGTTACCTTGATGCTTCCTTTGTACCTTTGTAAAGATATACATAAATTCCACAATAACTAGAAACATTATCTTATTTAACATTAAGATTTATCTAGACTGAAAGCTCTTAAAAATTACAACCTGACATTATATCACACACATTTGCAGCCATTAAGAATTCTTCACCATAATCAGTATCTTTACAATGAGTATTCTAACTTTGGGATATACAGATTGTTAGGCAGTTATTGACATTTAGGGGTTTTCTTTAAAAATGAACATCTTTCTATGTGTATTTGGCGGGGGTAAGGGGGGTATATTAACCAGAATGCTAGAAATATCTAGCAGTAATATTAACAGTACTAAGTTCATTTACATGTTCACACCTTCAAGTTCATTCTTAGCATATTTATGCAATGGTCTCTTTTACAACAGCATTATCCTGTAGCGTGGGTAAATACAATGGTTTTTGACTTTAAAGGACAACTGAGATCTGGTGACATAATACTGCACAGCTGGTCTTCATTTCCTGGTAAGATTTATATCTAATCCTTAGTGTTAGAGGAACTTTGGCATGTGTACTAGTTAATGTTTCTTTCTGACTCAGTATTCTTTCTGTTAAAATGAAATCATCATTTTATATCTTTGTTTATTCTAAAAGATTTCCACATACCATTTTAATATGTCAGAAGTGATTTATATATGAATATATTTTAGTGATTAGGTTCCTGCTATAACCATTTTTTTTTTCAGTTTTATGAGATAAAATCTCCTAAGAAACAACATCTTTAAAACAATGTCTATCACTCCTACTTGTACTAACTTTCTATAGTAAAAATATCTATGTGCTGTCTTTAGTCTGAAATTTGAGCTAAGAGGAGCACCTTCCATGTGCCTTTTCTGCTCAAATGCTACTTAAAGTGGTCCTATGAGGTACCCTTTTTATAGATGAGGAAAGTACAGCTCAGCAATAAGAAGTTAGTCTTACATACTTGCTTCAAACCTAGGATTTGTATGAAAGACTGATTGCTTTCCATTATCACATAGTGCTTTTTGAAATGTCAGAAATTCTTCGCTTTGCATTATACTGATTTTCTCCTTTCTGTCCCCAGCCCATCTTCATAGTTGGTTAATGGTAGTTAGTAAAATTGTGAATTTCTTGGCTTTTTCAGTTCATCTTTTTTGTGGTGGTTGTTTTTGCATAATTAGTTATCTATGTATAAAGTCTTTGTAGTCTAATGTGTATGTGTGTGTGTCTTTTCTGTTTCTACCTTCTCCTACCTTTACCCCCAAAATTCTCACTAAGTGTGGATTTAGCAGATTTTTTAAGAGGAATTATATTTTCACAGTTAAAATAAGAATTATTCACTTCAACAATGTACTTTGCAAAAAATTATAATTTAGATACACACATTCTCCAGAATGATTAAGCAACTTAATTAGTACTTTTAGAAAACTTGTCAATTTTGATAGCATAAATTGACTTATCTCTAACAAAACATAGGGTGAAAAATAATCATTTCTTATTACTCACTTAACATATTTGTTCTTCTTGTATTGGCTCTAGAATTGTCATCTTTTCCCCCAACAAGCCAGAAACAAAAGAACAACAAATAAGCTATTGTTTAGCATTCCTAAGTCATCATTGAAAAGTATATAATGCATTTATTGGTTGCTTTGTATCTTTCTAGAAATCTTTATTAGGAAATACAAATGTTGATTTCTCTTTTTCTCTCTTTCTTGCACACAATAATACATTTTATATAGTCTGTTGCCTTCTTACTCTTACACATCCTCAGAGTGCTGAAGCAGCTACCTTTTAATACTTAAAACAATGTTATATAATTTTGCTTAGTGCAGGTATGTGTTTCAGATAAATCCCCAAAAGTGGGTTAAATGAAAGAATAATTCATAATTTTAAAAATCACAAATTTCTCTTCAATAGAGATTGTACCAATTTGTACTATCTGTAATATATTAGAGAGCTCTTTTTGTGAATACTCTTAAATGATTAGTCCTATATGCTTGGGACGATAACAATGCTAAAATGCTAGATTTCACTTTAGATGGGTTATGTTTGGTATAACAAATAAGCATACCAGATTGAAGTATGCCAAGAAAGCACCGTTAGAAGCTTTCAACTCACGAGAATTGCTTCTGTCCAAGTGAAAATTGAATCTGATATGTGCGAATATTAAATATGTTGAGCAAAAAGCTAATATAGGATCTGAAAGTTGTAAATACTTTGTAAAGATTTTCAAGCTTTGGATGATAATTCTGAGTGTGCATACTACCTGTATATGAGACTTAGATAGAATGTACTTACTGTTTTATTTCCTTCAGAAGTACAGAGAGAAAATCTGGGTTAAACATTAGTGTAAGAAAAGAAAAATTAGTTTGGAGAGATTTTATGTTGTACTGCTAACTGTTCTCTCATCTCAAATTTAATGTCTCTTCAGTATTTTACTTGTTACTCATTTACTTGTGAAGTGAAAAAGTTATATGAACTCTAGGGTTTTGTAACAACACTGTAATTATAAGACTCCCCGGGCACATTTCTGTGAATGGATCATGTTTATGATGGTGGAGAAGAAAGAGGAAGAAGCAGGTGGGGAAGTTAAAGGAGTCTTTACCACTTGAGTGGTATGCTACAGAAACTACCAGAAAAGTTGTTAAACTGTATTAGTTGTTATAAGAACATTAATAACATTATGTTTGTTAAAAAGAATGCCTTTGACTCTCAAAGTATCAGTTTGGGTACTATGATTACCATGGAAATGAAATTGCATGTGATTAAAAAAGCCATATACAATAATGAAATAATAGAAATTCCTATGGAATCTCTAATTTTGGTGGCGAGCGAACAATTCTGATTAATTTTCAAGAAGAAATGGGTAACCAGTAATTTTTGTTAACGTTCTCATTTTGAAAATATATATAATTTGTTGGCTTTTTCAGTTTTTGTGCTAAGCTTTAACAGAAAATAGTGGCTTACTGATTAAATTGTCTGCCAAACTTCCCTGGATCATACACTTTTTTTTTTAAACAATTATATTTTTAATTAAAAAAAATAATATAATAGTTTTGTTTTGTTTTTTACATCATTTTGTGCTTTTTTTTCATCTCCGTTGTAATCCCTATGAGCTTCCCATCACCAAATCACCCATGGGGTCACACACTTTTTAAAATAACCTATGTGGTCAGAATCCATTAAAATTTTTAGTTTAGTTTAAAATAATTGAAGAATCAAAATTATTTTCATATTTTAGAGGAACTTGAAGAAATGTTGAATCCTATGGGAACTGTTCAAACAAATCCATATACTGAAAATGCAACAGCATTGCATATCAAATTCCCAGAGAATAAAAAACAACCTTACTATTATCCTCCCTTTGATAAGGTAAGTTAATTATTTAAAAGGCATGAAGTATTTGAATTATTAGTTCATGACTTTATAATATTTGTAGTTTAAGATTTATAAGACATCTATTTCTATTTCAAACTGTCACATCCACTGACACCTTAGTTCAATGCAAAGACCTCTGAGCAAGTAAACAACTCTTTATTCTTGACTTTCTGACTGCCCTAGTGAACTAGGGCATCTCTGCAGTTCAGGTCCTCCTTTATAAAATGTGAAAATCCTAATTATTCAATAAGCTTCTTTTCACTTAAAAAGGGGTATAAATGCATTCATATGTAACTCTGGGCATGTAAAATACACCGTGAAATGTACCTAACATGTTGGTTGAGAGCTTATTATAGTGCTAGACTTGGTATTTAAATCAGATGATTTATGTCGAGTATTACCATCGGCATACTTCCTTTGGTTCTACTATTTTTGTGGAAGCTAGTGTAAGGATTTCCATTCCTACACACATCCTTAATAGTCAAGTTATATGTCTTGGAGTCAAGGGCAGTATCTGGTGGGGACTGAATATAGAGCTATATTAATTTACAATGAAACCTGAGATGTCTTGTTTTAGCTTCAGGTTTGACATCTTATTTCACATTTGCTGATTTTGATGAAGAAATCTTTGAAAAAGTTTTCAGATCATAAATAAATTATTAAATAAAAAATAAGCTTTTGATTATTTTGATTATTTCCTTAATCAATTTGAGACTACCTTGTAATTGTAATATTATGGTAGATAATATTTAAATTAGTCTATCTTTAAACTTAATTGTATTTTAAAATCTAGAACTACCAAAATTGTCTATAGTAGATTTTTCAAGTAGTATGTAAGTTAAACATATGTAACTCAATATTTCTTCCTTTAACTTTTATTGGAAGTAACTTTTTAATTTCAGATTCTTCTAAAATAATTTTCTTATCAGTAATATGCAGCCAAATTAAATTTAGAGATTATTACAGTAGAATTCCTAAGTATGTTAAGAATCACATGGCTTCGTGTACATTGAATCTACATTGAATCACATCTGTATTCGTGTCATAGCTGTATTTATTCCTTAGATAGAAATTTATCCATAAACTGCAATTACTTGTGAAATATTAGATAGTTCTACTATGACTATTTTTGTGTCAGTTGCGATATGTATTTAACAATGAATTATATGCTTTTTTGAAGCATTTTTTGCAAATATAATATACTGTGCAAATAAAAGTTTTAATCTTTCAAGAGAAATCTAATCTCTTTAAAATGACTTGTTTTAAAATTGCTCCAGTCATCTACAACTGGTCACTAAGTATTTCCTTTTGTCTTTATCTTTGAAGATCAATGTGGGATGGAGATTTTAGTCTTAATACATATGTATAAACATGTTTATACTTGTATTCCTTTAGTTGTGCAATTTAAATGTCATCACTAAATAAAATAATACAGATACAAAAAGTGAAAATTCCTGTTTTAATTTAATTGAATATATTTTGTTAGTTTTATAGTTATTATTTAATGTTAGTAACTAATCTCATTTTATCATTACAGCACTATTACATAGGACTAGATTTATCACAGCATTTTACACGAGGCAGCAGTTAGGTTAGTTACATGATTCACCTAGGATCATGTAACTCAGTAACTGAATATTAATTGTCAGATTCTTTAGCCATTAATCTTCCTGCTTAGCCAGAGGGTTTCAGTCTTATCAATAATGAAACCCCCCTTTGAACTTGAATTTAAAAATTATTTTTAGGATTTCTCTTGTCATTACCTTTGATTTCTGTTAATTCAGAATATTAATATGATGACTAATAACAAAAGCTTATTCTTTATTTAATAATTTTCCCCTGCCTTTGTATTTTCATATCCAGGATATGTTCACATATATTTAAAAATTTCTGCCCAAATATGTGCACAGGACTACTTAGTTTATCTATAGACAGTCCTAGAGTAACCTGGGAATCAGAATGCTTTATAAATACTGTTGTTTCCTGACTGTCAAGAACTTGACAATTGAGAATCACTGTGGCATACCACTGTGCATTTAAATATCATGTGTAAGTGGAGGGGAGAGCTTTAAGCCTATGGTGATGGTTCATAGGTGTCTTGGTGGTGGTAATTTATAGGGGGATACACCTGAGAGGAGAAATCCAACTTGCAGAAAAATGAACAATGATGTAAAAATATTGTATACACTTAATAAATAAGTAAATGTCATATTTACATTACAAAGCATAGAAATGTCAAACCATGTAGAGTTCCTTGTAGTTTAAATACAAATATAGCCATTTTATATTTAAAATTTTACAAATATAAGAGCTAAAATTAAAATTTTTCTTTTAAACAGATTATTGAAAAGGCAGCTGAAATTGCAAGCAGTGATAGTGCTAATGTATCAGTAAGTATCAAAAGTATCAAGTTTTTTTTTTTAAACGGTCCTTTCTTCAAGGATTGTGCTTGTCATTAGCTACCTTCCTTTTGTTTATGGTAATGAATTTACAGAAGTTGTGGAATATTCCCTCTCAATATGACAGATGTGAACTACAACCAGGAAAAAGAAAGCAGCTAGTCTTTTTTCATGTGGTTATATAGCAAGGGGTAAGGGTGTGTGTGTGGGGAGAGTTATTTTAGTCACTAATTACTATTATAGCATAATATGCATATGATTTTGAAAAATCTCAAAACAGCAATAAGGAAAAACTGAACATGAAGACAAAGTAGAAAATATGGGTGTTAATTTTCATTTCTTCCGTCATTAGAGTCCATTATGTTATTTTAATTCAAGCAGTCGAATCTATGTAGTTCACCACTTACACTTTACAATATATATTTTTATTATTGATTGTTTCAGTTTTGTGAAAGAATGCAAGATTATGTGTTTTGTTTGGCTTACTGCCACATTTCTGGTTGTGGTTTGTTTTTATATCTTGGCATTATTCAGTGCTGTCTTTTCATAGCTCAGTAAACAATCACAGTACAATTATACAGCCAACTCCACCTCTCTTCTCTTAGTTTACTCCTAGCTCTTCAGGATATTTACTTACAATAGATCTTTAGGGTCTAATTTTGATCCATGAAATTGTCGATGTGCTAGCTTTTAGAAATATTTCACTTAAAACAGCCTTCCTTTTCCTGAAATGAATAACTTACACTCTGTTTTCAGTAAGTTTTCACTTTAAGATGTAAGTCTGAGAGTTTCATTTTCAAATTCTGATGATTTATCATAATCATTTTTCAGAGAAAACCTAATGAAGCCTATAAAATAGTGTATGCCCTTTTTAGATTGAAGTGCTGTATATAAAATCACTGTAATCATATATAGAATTGGTATGTGGTTTTAAAAAAAATATATTTATTTATACATACAGAATTGGGGTACAGGCCAAAGATGTAGGGGGTGAGAGGATTCACTGGACACAAGAGTGGGGAGCAGAACAGGCAGATGCACTGAAATACAGTGCTGAGGGGAGCAGTAGGTAGGCCAGGAGAGGTCTGTCTCACCATGTGGGTCACACCCCTGGCTGAGGATCAACCTCAAGCTGCAGTGTCTGCAATAGCTTCATAGCGCTATGCTTTAACCCATTGCGCTACCAGGGAGGGCTCTCTTTTCTTTTTTAATTAGACATCTTTTAAACTATAGGAATAGATCTATTTTTTATTGAGGCGTTAACTTTGGTTTTCAGCTCGTGTTGTGTATATGATTTATGGGGATAGGTTCACACCCACCACAAAAGTACACGTAGTCCTTCATCACACACATTGGACCTTTCCCCCTTTTGTTCCTACCCCGACTCTCCCTCTAGTAGCCTCCATTCTGCAGTTATATTTTCTAGGGTTTGTTTTGGTTTAGTCAGTTCCTTTGTTTTGTTTCTCTTTGTTCCACATATGAGTATTTATATTTCTCTTCTGACTTAATTCACTTAGCCTAATACCCTTTTTTTTTTTTTAAAGATTTATTTATTTGTGCATACAGAACTGGGGTACAGGCCAGAGGCTCAGGGGCAGCGAGAGGCTTCACCGGAGACAGAGTGGGGAACAGAACAGGCAGATGGATGAAGTACACTGCTGAGGGGAACAGCAGGAGGGTCGGGAGAGGTCTGCCACACCATGTGGTCACTTCCAGGGCAGGCGGGAATCGAACTCATGCAGAAGTGGCTTTAGCTTCTTAGTGCTGTGCTTTAACCCTCTGCGCCATCAGGGAGGTCCTGTTTTTTTTTTTTTTAACCCTTCAGTTTTTATAGTGTTGTTACATTGAACATGAGCTCCTCTTTTTCTGTTGTTGTTAGTATTTCAGCATGTATAAATACCATGTTTCCATAGTCCACTCCTGTCGCTGGGTATTCATGATGTGTCCATAACTTGGCTAATGTCGATAGTGCTGCAGTGAACATAGGAGTGCATACATCCCTTTGAATTAGTGTTTTTGCATTTTGCATGGATACCAAGAAATGGAATTGTTTTATTATATGGCAGGTCTATTCTTAGTGTTGTAATAACTTCATGTTGTGTCCATAGGGGCTAGACTAAAGTCTACATTCTTACCAACAGTGCATGAGGTTTCCTTTTAGCCACATGCTTTGCCAACATTTATTGTTACTGTGTTTTTGATATGGACCATTGTCACAGGACTGTGACTATTTTCACTATTTCCTTAGTTTTCCTTCTTCATCTACTATATAGTTGAAATTGTACATTGTATTATTTTATTACATTGACTTCTTTATTAACATGAGCTTAATAGTTTCTCATGTGTTTTAACAGGATTGTCACAGTATGTAATTGTGAGTTTGGCCTTTCTCTGATAAGTAGTATTCAGCATTTATTCATGTACCTGTTGAATATCTGTATGTCTTCTTTGGATAAGTCTTCATTTTTTGATTGGAAGACTTTTAAAGAGCAATTCATACCTTTGTAACAAAATTGGGAGGAAGGTAGAAGGATTTCGATAATCTCTTGTGCCCAACCATGCGTTCCTTCCCATTGTCCACATCACTTTTCAGATGGTACATTTATTACTAATAACTCATCTACGTTGACACATCTTGATCACCCAAAGTCCATAGTTTACCTTAGGTTTCAGTTTTGGTGGTGTGCATGTTAATAGGTTTGGACAAATGTATAATGAATGACATACAGTCATCATTATGTTATCACACAGTATTTTCACAGCCCTACAAATACTCTGTGCTCCACCTGTTTATCACCCTAACCTACTCCATATCTCTGGCAACCACTTATTTTTCACTGTTTACTTGGTTTTCCCTCTTCATTTACTATATAGTTAGAATCATGTGGTTTTATTACATTGACTTCTTTAACTTATTAATATACACTTAATAGTTTTTCATGTGTTTTCATTGCATGATGGCTCATTTCCTTATAGTGTTAAACTATTTCACTGCCTGTATCTATTATATTTTATTTATCCATTCTTTTAGTGAAGAACATCTTTGTTGCTTTTGGATTTTTGCAGTTTTAAGTAATGTGGCTGTAAATATTCATGTACAGGTTTTTGTGTGGGTATAAGTTTTCAGGTCTTTTTGGTAAATGTAAAGGGGCATGCTTATTGGATTATATGCATATGTGTGAATATGTTTAGTAAGAAACTGCGCAGTTGTCTTCCTAAGTGGCTGTAGTAATTTTGTATTTCCAGTAGTGGTGAATGAGAGTTCCTGTTATTCCACTTCCTCAACAGCTTTTGGTTTTGCCAGTGTTCTGGATTTTGACCATTCTGATAGATGTTTTTATATCTATTAACTGCATGTAGTTGTATTTCATTTTTGCTTTAATTTGTATTTCCTGATCGTGTGATGTTAAGCATTTTTTCATATATGCTTACAATTTCTTTATATATTTTTGGTAACAGTACTTTATCAATTTGTCTTTTTGCAAATACTTTTTCCCTGTCTGTGACTTAAGGTTTTATTTTCTTGTTAGTGTCTTAAAGTCCAACTTCAGATTCTTTTTATTAATGGATTATGCCTTTGGTGTTATATGTAAAACGCCATCACCAAACCTAAAGATTATATAGACCTACACCTATATTATCTTTTGTGAGTTCTGTCTTTAACATTCATTTTTATGTAATTCAGGTACTACTAATCCTTCTCCTTTGTTCTTTCCTTTTCAATATTTTGAGGTGTATTCTGAGTCTTTTCTCTCTACGCCCGATCTCATCTGTGTAAACTTCAGAATCAATTTGTTGATGCCCACAAAATAATTTACTGGGATTTGATTGGGTGTACATTGAATCTATTGATCAAATTGGGAAGAACTGGCGTTTTTTGTGTTTTTTTTTTATCATGAACATGAAGTAGCTCTTTATCAGTATTTGTAGTTTTTCTCATTAATCTTGTACACATTGTTATTTTTATGTGAAACATTTTGGGGTGTCAGGATAAATAGTGTTGATTTCAATTTCAAGTTCCACTTATTGCTTATATAGGAGAGCGGTTTACCTTTGTTCATTACCTTAATCATATAACTTTGGCTTATTCTAGTAGTTTTTGCTGACTCCTTTAAATTTTCTACATAGATAGTCATGTCATCCTCATTCTTTTTATATATGCATATTGTATTTTGAATATTACTACTTTGGGAAATTTGTTTTATGACTTTTACCATTTATATGAAATGCTAGTTAAAATAACATCAAGTATAAAGTAAAATAATAATAGAATATAAATACCTATAAAATCCTTTAGATAACAGACTTTTTTGTTTTGAAAAATGTGTTTTGGTTGAAAATAGGATTTTTCGGGCCCTCCGTGGTGGCACAACAGGTTAGAGTGCAGCACTGCAAGCTAGCTACAGCCACTTCAGTGCTAGTTCGATGCCGGCCTGGAGGTGATCCACATGGTACAGCAGACCTCTCCTGATCTGCCTGCTGCTCCCCTCAGTAGATTACATCATTGATCTGCCTGTTCTGCTCCGCACTCTGTCTGTGGTGAATCCTCTTACTGCCCCTTCACCACTGGCCTGTACTCCAGTTCTGTATGCATAAATTGGGAAATCTTAAAAAAAAAAAAAAAAAACCCATGTTTTTAAAATAAACATAGGGTTTTTCTTTAAATAGGTGGAAATGTACCTCTTTTAATATTATTGAAATCTGGACTGTAGGTCCAGAGAAGAGCAGTGGGACCATCATCCATTTTTATTTTATTTTATTTTATTTATTTATTTTAAGATTTATTTATTTATCCATACAGAACGGGGTACAGGTGCAGGGGTGGTGAGAGGATTCACCAGAGACAGAGTGGAGAGCAGATTGTTGATTTGAAGTACACTGCTGAGGGGAGCAGTGGGCGGTTCAGGAGAGGTCTGCCTGCCATGTGGATCACCTCCGGGGCGGGAGGGGAGTCGAACTCATGCTGAATTGGCTTTAGCTTCTCAGTGCTGTGCTTTAACCTGCTGTGCCACCAGAGAGGACCTTTATTTTACTCTTTTATGGGTTGCTTAGTACAAGGGGATAGTTCTCTCTCTCTTATGTTTAGTTTTAACCATTATTAAATTCTTTATCTTAATAGTTTTATTACATTTCTAAGCATGAAAAGGTAGCTGTTTCTTTATTTTTTTTTTCTGACTTCATGTTTGGATTATCTTTGGTTTTCATTATTGTTTACAAAATTAAAAGTTAAAATGGAAAGAAATTTTGTTCGAGTAAATGGCTTAAAATTCACATGGCAATTCTGCCACCTAGTGTTTTTATGTGGATTTTGAATTGTTAATATTCTTTTTCATTTTTTAGAAATGTTTGAGAATAATTCTTTCCTTTACCCTTATCATTCAAATTTAATTTAACAAAGAAGACTTCAAAAGAGGACCTATATTATATTTTAAGGGGTTATTATATCCTTAGTATTTCATACTAAATTTCTTAAGGTGATTCCTGATTCATTGTATATAAATTTGCTACTGAGTCTTTGCTACTGGTAGTTCTTTTAATTCTATAATGAGTAATTTTTCTTTTTAGAGTCGAGGTGGAAAAAAGTTTCTTGCTGTACTAAAAGAAATCTTGGATAGGGATCCCTTGTCCCAACTATGTGAGAATGAAATGGATCTTATTTGGACTTTGCGACAAGATTGTAGAGAGAATTTTCCACAGTCATTGCCAAAATTACTACTGTCAATTAAGTGGAATAAACTTGAGGATGTTGCTCAGGTAAGAAATTTCATTTCTTTAACTCCTTTTTGAAGTATTTTTTTGCTTCGTTAATTTCATACAAAACATCCTTTCCTACATAATTGCTATAGCTTGGACAGTTCTCTTCAGGAGAAATTTTGAGGCTTTATGATATGAAGATTCCTTAAAAAATTAAATTTGAAAATAACGATCCACTAATGCCACTACTAGGTATTTACCTGGAGAATTTAAATACACTACAAAAAAATTCATGCTACTATTGGCAGCAGCAGCATTCTCAAGAACCAAAAAATTCTTGCAGGCAACCTTAATGCCAACAACGGGTGATTAGATAAAAGATTGTGGAATATATACTCAATGGATTACTACTCTGCTATTAAAAAAGGTGAAATGGTGCCTTTTAGGGAAAAATGGTTGGATTTTGAGGATATTATGCTAAGTGACATAAACAAGAAAGTGAAAGACAACAGATTATTTTACTCATTTGTGGAATATAAGTAACCAAAGAAAACAAACTGGAAAAACACAAGCAAATATAATTCTTAGATTTTGTGAAAAATATACTGATGGTGAACCAGAGGGGATATGGAGAAAGGACAAGAAAGGATAGGGAAGGTGATAGGGCATTGGCAGTGGAACTTCGGTGGAAGGCAAGTAAGGCATGTGTACATTAAACATAATAGGAAAAAATATTGCTCCAAAAAGCCCATAAGAATTGAGCTCATTTTTTAAAAAAGATTCTATCAAAAAACTGGTATTTATTAGAGTCAGTTGGTCATTAATACTTTGTAGAAATATCCTTAAACTGTTTTGTTTTAATCAGAACAAATGCATTTGCCATGTTAAGATAATTGAAATTATTTACCTTATTTCATCCAATTTTTTCAAAAAATTTTGGTCTTAGTAAATTTACCATTTAAAAACTTTAAGATATTTATATTTTTCTCTTAATTGTGCTTTTTAAGTCTTTGATTTATTGTTTATTTCTCAAATTAAGTATAAAAAGGATTTCTTTTGAGTTTATTTTTAGTGATTTTTTTTGAATGATGTTATGTAGTTATATTGTTATATCCCTCATTTATGCTGTATATGCTTTTAGACCATAAGAAACTCAAAGTCCAGAAAGCCTAAGTCTCTAGAAAGGACTAAGAACACAGTGAAATTCATCAGGGTTGTTTGCTCTTGGCAAATTCTCTTCCTCTTCTTGATTTTGATTATGTGTGCAACATAAATTCATACCAGAATTGTAATTGGGAAGAAATTGGTTATAGGGGAGAGCAAAATAAATTTTGAGAATTATGTTTAGTTGTCTCCAAATTCAAATTTATCTGGTAAGTTCTAATATTTGATTTTATGTTTTTGGGGTTTTTGGATATCACCTAAGTGACATTGAAATCGAATCCTAGGATGATGTGTAGAGTAAATGCATGGATGAGAACATTAAAAAGAAAAGTTTCCGTGTATGTGGCTGTCTACTGAAACACCTTCTAGTCCCCACTTATTTCCCAAAGGGTTTCTTTTTCTTGTTTTAAGCCTGTGGCATCTGTATATAGACTGATGTATCTGTCTTTAAAAAAAAAAAATTATTTGAATGGCTTAAACGTGGTAGTAAAACTTTCTGTGAGTTTCAGATACTCAAAAATATTATGAGCTAAAAGTAAATTCACCAAGAATAATTTTACATTGACTTACTAACTTTATATATGTAAATTGCCTGTCATTAACTTAAATCTTGTAGCTGAATTTTATCTGGAAGTATTTATTGATTATGTCTTTTTCCTTTTAAAATTTTTTAATTGCTAATGAGTATAAAATGCATACATTCAGTGTATACTTTATTTTTGGGTAAACACTTGGTGGGTTTTTAATTTGTTTACAGACTGTTTCAACAAAGGTGTTCTTTATTAATTTATATTAATAGGAATGGATTTTTGAGACCTCAGTAATTGCAAGTATGCTTCTCCTTTCTTTTGACCCATCTCTGCTCTTAAGTGCAAAAGAAAAATAGATTCTTCTATAATTTATGAACCCGTTTGAATTTTTAAACAGCTTCAGGCACTACTTCAGATTTGGCCTAAACTGCCCCCTCGAGAGGCTCTGGAACTTTTAGACTTCAACTACCCGGATCAGTATGTGCGGGAATATGCTGTGGGCTGCCTGCGACAGATGAGGTACCTCCTGTGGGTGGCTTTCTTTGGGGGACATAGTAATTTGGGGGAGTCTGCTTGAATGTTTCATAAGAAGGGAAAAGGCCAGAAGCTATTAAGGATTCAAAGCATTTGTTCCCTTACTCCTATTGTTCCCAATCTCTCAGACTCTCATTCTCATATTTACTCTGTATTATAAATAAACAAAAGCAAGTTGGGCATATTATTCTCTGTGGCCATGATTCAGTGGGAGGACTTGTAGGACTCAGCATAGTCACACTCGTGGCTATTATTTACTACAGAAAAAGTGATATAGAACAGAACTGGCAAAGGAAAAAGATTCATGGGGCTGCGTCTGGGGGAAAGCAGAGAAAAGTTTATAAGTAGAGTGGGGAAATACTTAATTTCTCTAGCAATGAGTTGTGGCACATAAGAAACGTTATCTGCCAGGGAAACTTGTTGGAGACCTGATAGCAGGTTTTCTGTTGGCTGGTCACATAATCACTATCTGCCTGGCACATAGCAAATCCTGTACACCTAGAAGAAAATGGGTATTCAGCATAAGCCATAATCTTTGTACAGTTTAGGCCATAAGCCCTCTTATCCATATTTAGCATACTTAGAAGCCTTCTGAAATCTATGTTCCCAGATGCCTGCAAGGATGATCTTGTAAACCTGCTTTTTTAAAGAATAACAGACAGACCTACTATGTTAACTTTTCTGTCAACTACACAGAAATAAGAAATGTTACTATTTTGTTATTTTCTTTAAATGTATTTATAAGAAAATAGTATTATAGGTGAAGGTGAAATTTTCTTAGGTTCATTACCAGCCCTGATTATTTTTTTTACTTCCTAGATTTTGGTGTGTATTTTTCTATACCATATTATTTTGTTTTTACCACATTTTTGTATTTATAGAAATGTAAATACAGAGTATTGTACATTTAAAAATTGCACAAATGTTATTTTCATTTTTTTGTTTATTAGACATTTTTTGAGGTTAGTTTAGTCTCTACTGTTGTATTGATAGATAAGTGTAGTTAATTCCTTTCAGTTCTCTAATATTCTGTCATAGACATGTTTACCCCATTCCTTATTCTTCTTTGAGGAAGATTTTATGTTTACTCCAGATTTCCCTATTACAGCCAAATCTATAGTCAGCAAACTTGAGCAGTACTCTTTTGTGCAGTGTATATGTGAGAGTCTATGTGATTTATTTGAAGAAATGATATATTTGAGATAGCCATAGACAGTGGGCATTTTCAAGCTTATCAATTTTAATATTAGTCTCAGAAATGAGTATTATATTGGGTGGTGGTTTGAAAAATAAAAGATCTCAGAATATTATGGACACTGTGGTCCATTGTCTTTTGAATCACATGTGTTTATTTGGGGGTAGTCAAGAAAGCAGAGGCCTCGCCTTTTTAATGCTTCCTTTATCTATTTACACACTATTTGTAAATTCTATAATGGGATTGGATATAGGAAACTTGAGTTTATTGTATTGGTAGTTTCTAAAAATGAGGTACTCAGCCACATCTTATTCTCCCTAATTTGTTTTGAGACTTGAGGGGCAAGGGTCATTTGTCTTCTCTAAGTTGAGCCAAGTGTCCTTCTTAAATGTATTGATCCCCAGAAAATGATTCCATTTTCTTAGGTTAAAATTTCTGGTTATGAAGTTTTTCTTCTAGGCATTTAGGACCCTGGGTTTCAGTTCCAAATCTGTCTTAGACTGTTTTCTTGGCATTTACTGTCCAACTTACAGTTATTGGAGGATTTAAGATTCGTATCTTACATCACAATTGCCTCTGATAAATGTGCTTACTTGTGATAGTTTCGGGATGAGCACAAAATAGAAAACCATTAACCTGTATTAACTCAGCTAAGTTAATTATAGTGTTAGGTTACATTGTCACAGACTCAGTTCCCACTTAGAATATTATCAATTTCCTTATCCTTAAAGCTATTTGAAGGTAAGGGCCCTCCCCTCCCTGGTGGTGCAGTGGATTAAAGCACAGCATTGAGAATCTAAAGCCACTTCAACACGAGTTCAATCCTCAGCCCTGGGGGTGACCCACATGGTGCAGCAGACCTCTCCTGACCTGCCCACTGTCCCCTCAGCGGTGTACTTAGTCAGTCGTTTTGTTCTGCTCCTCATTCTGTCTCTGGTGAATCCTCTCACCACCCCTGCACCTCTGGCCTGTAACCCAGTTCTGTGTGCATAAATAACTAAATCTTTAAAAAAAAAAAAAAAGCTATTTGAAGTTAAAGTTTAAATTCATTGATTATCTGGGAGACAAAACTGTTTAACCCTAATGATTGGAGAAATACTAAAATGCTGACATACTAATGGAATAGCTTTTAAAAAAAACTGATTGGTTGACTTAGTACATAACCTTTTCAGTATAATAAGGATTCAGTGTAAATGCGCTCATTGTAAATACAATCATCAATCGTATCAGCTTAATGTAGAAATGTTCATATATCGGATTAATGCCTATTTTTCCTCCTGCTTCTGCCCATCTGAAATTTGTAGCTTTTTTAAAGTAGTGGAATAATGTAGGTAAGCATGTAATAAGCCTGACTCTAAACAATCATTGTTTTAGTGTTAGTATTTGAAAGTTTAATAGAGGGAATATTTTTCTAGCACAGGTTACTGAGTAACTTGCTTTGTCTTTTGTTTCTTTCAGTGATGAAGAACTCTCTCAGTATCTTTTACAATTGGTACAGGTTTTAAAATATGAGCCTTTTCTCGACTGTGCCCTCTCTAGATTCCTATTAGAAAGAGCACTTGCTAATCGGAGAATAGGGCAGTTCCTGTTTTGGCACCTTAGGTAAGTCTTTTATTTCAATTTGAGTTCATTTGGTCTGTTAGTAAGCATTAAACAACAAAATGCTAGACACTTAGCAAAACAGCTGCTTTGATTTTTTTCTAAGCCATCTATAACATTCTTTCTACATGTCTTCTCTTTGTTGGTATTCAAACTCTTAATTTTCATAACTTGGCAAAATAATTCATATAAACAAATCCCTCCATGCCTCCTTGAGTTTTAACCAAAACAAATAATTTATGTAATGCTACTTTTGAACAGAGTAAATTTTATACATATATTTGGACTAAAAACAGACACCTTTTCCTTCCAAAATGTTGTAGGCAAATATTATCATAATTACTACTATTGGGTAAAGTTTTAAAGTTTTAGTATAATAACAGTGGCTTTAGTTTTAGCTTCTTTATTAACTTGGTAATTTTTTGAAATGCCTGAACTTTATATAGAAGCAAAATTATGAAAGAAAACTAAATTTCTTTTGTTTCCTAGGAAAATTATTTCTCATTAATGACTCTGTGAAGACATTTTTGTTCTTTTCATCTGAACTTGAGAATATTGAAACTAGTGATTATCAGCAAAAAACCAAAAAACAAAAAAACTTCCTTTTTGGAAGCTAAGCTTCTTAGGGAAAATAAGTTCTATGATATGATGTTAATTTTAAGGGTTATGTTTCTGGATCTTTTTTTTTTTTAAAGATTTATTTATTTGTGCATACAGAACTGGGGTACAGGCCAGAGGCTCAGGGGCGGTGAGAGGCTTCACCAGAGACAGAGTGGGGAGCAGAACAGGCAGATCGACGAAGTACACTGCTGAGGGGAGCAGCGGGCGGGTCAGGAGAGGTCTGCCACACCATGTGGTCACCTCCGGGGCAGGCGGGAATCGAACTCATGGGGAAGCGGCTTTAGATTCTCAGTGCTGTGCTTTAACCCGCTGCGCCACCAGGGAGGGCCCTGTTTCTGGATCTTTATTTCATTATTTTCCTTTCTTACTTTTAACTAACCCTTTGTTTTCTTTACTTTAAACCCTTCAGGGAATAACAAAATAAAGTATTCTTTTTTTCCCCTCCTCCAAATGTGCACATCATTATTTAAGTGAGAAAGAATTGAATAGAATGGTACTCCTAGGCAGGAGGTTCTCACGAACCTTTGCTCTTTGCAAAACAGCATCAGAAGCTCCTTGCCTGCCTGTATCTATGCAAGTGTCTCTTTTTCCTTTCCATAATAAACCTGTCCTTTTAAAATATATTTTTTAAAAGTGTAGAAGCAAATTAAGGGATTAGTGAATTATATGCTGCCAGTCAAATCTTTTGGTTTCATTTTAGTGGTCTACAAATTGGTACTGTTACCTTTCTTTAAAGCAAAATTAGTGATATTTCTCTGAATAAAGACTTAACTAAATATCAAATCTTGATTTTTTTGATCTCTGGTATTTAAAGAATTGGGAGGTTGACTATCCCACTGATAATTGTATACAAGGTGGTATGTTTTTATTAACATTTGTCTCTTTCATAATGAAGCATCAATATTTGTACCTGAAGTATTGGTATCATATCTGAAGTACTTATGAGCAAATTGCCTCAATATTATTCATGTTGTGCAGGTCAGAAGTGCACATTCCTGCTGTCTCAGTGCAATTTGGTGTCATCCTTGAAGCATACTGCCGGGGAAGTGTCGGGCACATGAAAGTGCTTTCTAAGCAGGTATCAATTTGTGTTGACTTTCTACCACTTGTTATTAGATAAATTGTATCTTATGTGCTTTCTTTTATCATGTTATTTCTTAAAGGTTTCATAGCAGAACCTGGTGAAAACATTTTTATTCAATATTTAAATTAAGAAAGGAAGTTTCAACAAACTTAGCAGAACATTAATTGACTGCTGTCTGAAAATTAGTAAGATTCCTCATAGTCTATATTAATACCATGCCTTAAGGCTTTTAAAAATAATATAAGTTTATTTTTACATCATTTTGTGCCTTTTTCCATCTCAGCTGTAATCGCTTGGGCTTCCCATCACCATATCACCGTGTGCCAACACCATAGTCCAGTGTACTTCCCTCCCCCTACTGTTTTTGACCCTATTCCCCACTCCATCCCCATAAAATGTCTCTGGTATATAGTGTTCATTATTATTATTATTTTCTCCCCTGATCTGTTATATTCCTGCTATGAGTGAAACCATCTGGTATTTTTCCTTTCTTTCTGGCTTATTTCACTAAGCATGATCTTTTCAGCTCCACCCATGTTGCTGCAAAAAGGCCATGCCTTAAGTTTTAATAGGAAATATTTATAAAGACATATTTAACAATGGGTTGATGGTGACAATGGTTACTAAATTTTACGTCCTTTTATATTCATATCCTAAGTTTCTCTTTTATAAATGCTTATGATTCACATAGTCTGCCATTTTAGATTTGAGATATTTTGACATCTAACTCCAAAAGTGTTACAACTTCTAAGAATCCTTCAGCTATGTCTTAAATTGTTATACATGCCTGAAATTGTGATAGTCTCACATAGTCCCTCATGTTTCTAGACTTTTTATTTTCTAATAATTGTAGATGATGAACTATTAGTGATATTAATAGGTCAGATATTAAATAATTACTATAGTTCAGGAATCATACTGTTTTAAATGTGTTATTTTATTCTCCTAATAATGTGCCACAGTAGTTTTTAATGATAGTTTTAATCTTAATATCCAGTTTTTCTGTTAATTGTTTTGGAGAAAATCCTGATTCATACAGCTAAGTAATTGTAAGTAGTAAGGTTTGAAAATCACTTGCTTGGAAATAAGCAGCATAACCATAGTCAGTCTTAATTTGTTGGTAGGTCTGTGATTCCCTAATGGATGAGATAAGAGCATTTCTACCACCACAGTAAAACAGCCCTGTATTCCTGCTTCTTATGCGGAAAACCTTATTACAGCAACAAAGTGCTCTTGTTGTCTAGTAGTAATTTTTATTGAGTTGAGTTGTATCTAACGTAACAGAAGGCTTAATGATTTAATATACATTGCTCAGAACCAACTATATGCCAGAGTTTGTATTAGGTATTGGTAATATGAAGTCACATTAACCAGGTTGCTCCTTACATTTGTAGAGTAGGTGTGCAAACCACTGATTGTTACAATAGAACTTTTGTTATGGAAGTACATAAAAGAAGTGTGTAACCTAGTTTAGGCCATTAAGGAATAGTTAACAGTATCGAGGTGAAGAATATATTAGTCAGTGTTCTATAGAGAAACAGGACCAATATGATTTTGTGTGTGTGTGTGTGTGTGTGTGTGTGTGTGTGTGTGTGTGTGTGTTTGGAAAGAGGTAGAGGGAGAAGGAAGGTGAAATTGGGGGAGGTGATTAGAATTTATTATATAGCTAAGAGCCCAAGACCTGTAATCAAATAAGCTGGAAACCCAGGAGAAATAATTGCATAGTTCCACTTTGAATTGAATCTAAAGGCCCTAGAAACAAAAAGACAACAGTGTGTAAATTCCACTCAGTAAGCATTCAGGCTTGACATTCAGGAAAGCTACTATTTCAATTCAAGTTCAAAGGCAAGAAAAGACCAATGTCCTAGTTCAAGGCATTCAGGCAGATTGAATTCCTTTTTAGTCTTTGAGTGTCTGCCTTTTTGTTCTATTCAGTACTTCAGATATTTAGATGATACCCACCCACATTAGGAAGGGTAATCTGTTTACTCAGTCCCCTGATTAAAATGTTAATACCAGACAAGAACACCCACACAGACACACCAAACATCTGAGTATTCTCAATTGCCTAGAGGAAATAATAGATAAACTTACAACCACAGCCCAAGGCGGCACCCATACGCAGCCTTAAATCATACTTAAATCTACTTAAATCTCCCGAATGAAATTCCTACCTGACATGATACGACTCTAAGTGCAACTAATGTTTTTCCCAGAAGAGGAGGTAATATTCTGAATGGTGTTTAACTTCTTGATACCCTGAAATGAAGTGTTGCTATATAAAATTAACACTTCAGTACTGTGATATAAAGTCAACATACCTATGTTACATGGTAAGGAAGTAAGAATAAAAGGAGAAGAAAACAAAGATACTTATTGTAGATCTGCACAATGTTTATAATACACACATACCCAAACAAAGTAAGAGGAAATACTCATGGGTAATTATTACAGCCCTCATTTATGTGACCCACATATAGTCATATCTGCTATTTCTAACCCATTTTGTGCTTTAGCAAACACCTTACTTGATTATGGTTCTTTATCTGCTAGGATGATCCAAACTTTCATTCTTAAAGCACCTAGACTATTTATTAGTAGTCCTATCTTAGGATGATCCAAGCTTTCATTCTTAAAAGCACCTAGACCATTTATTAGTAGTCCTATCTGGATTAACAGATTATTATCTGGTGATCATTTAATCTCGGACATGATCCTAAATGACCTCCTGTGTATAGTTTTCCTTATCTCCATTATAGAGTAGTAGCTTAATTTCCTCTTGTTAGTCAGGATCAGTCATTACAGCTAGCACCATTCTTCTTTGTCTGTTGATCAGGCAGCATAAGGAGCTCAGAGTGACTCACGAGCAGTCTTTAACCTCCAGTCAATGGAATCTTTGTTATTCTCCCATTGGAACAGTTCCACCGTCTGTAATTAAGACTTCTATACTAGCAGAGCATAAGGACAGAGGAACAGGAAGCAATATTTTTGCCAGTGAGTCACTAGGGATAATAGTGAGTGGTACCATTTTTGTTTCCACCCCTTGATTTCTGGACCTATAATCCCAGCTACGGGAGAAACAATATTACATTATGAATTAATTGATGCAGATGCAGAGCTTATACAGCCCTATAGAGAACATTGTTCCACCCCTGCAAACTATTGCCACCTTATTGGCATTGTAGCTGAGTTTTTAAATAGCCATTCTACTGTTATATGAAACCAGCTGTTTTAGGATGGTGGGGACCATGGTAAAATCAGTGAATTCCTTGAATATGAACCCATTGGCACACTTCATTTCCTATGTAGTAAATTCCTTGATCAGAAGCAATACCATGACAGTGAATAAGGTATTCTGTATGTCTACAGATGATAGTTTCGACAGAAACATTGCTTGCAAGGCAGGCAAATCAGTATCCTGAGTAAAATACCTGTTCCATTATAAACAAAAAACACCACCCCTTCCAAAATGGAAGCAGTTCATTGTGATCAACGTGTCACCAGAAACCCACCTGACCACCCAGGATAAATGGTATCACATTGTTTCTGCTGCTGGCATAGACACTTAACATAGACACTTAACAACAGTCATACATAAAGCACTTGGTCTTTGATGAGTGGAAAATTTCCAATGTTTGATATCACCCATACTACCCCCCCACCCCCATATATACTTTTAAAAATATCTAGAATAGTTCTTCCTTATTAGGTTTCCTCAGCATAATGTTAGCAATGTAATGGATCAGAGTGATATATTGTTGAAGGAAAAGGCAGTGAAAATTGCCTCAAAGTAAAGTATGACATTGGCCTGGAAAGTTGATAATCTCTGAGTACAGGCAGTGTATTATTGGCTTTCCTAGCTTAAGTAAACAGCTTATAATGGTCTTCATTGACAGGTATAGGGGTTGGGAGAAACATTTGCCAGATCAATAGCTACATACCAGGTAGCAGGGGATGTATACCTTTGTTCAAGCATATCCTGAACAACCATATCTGGTATACCACTTGGTTATTGTTGTCGTAATTCACTGTTATTTTCTAAGTTATCTTTGTCTACTTAGTCAAATAGTATTCTCTAGAAACCCTGATTATTTCCTTTTCTGTAGTGTGTTATTACCCTATAAGAGTACATAGGTCTCTTTGGGAAGGCCAGGGAGAAATTGAATTCTATCTAATGTAGGGTAAGTCACAGCAGTCAGTCAGCACTGATGAGAATTTGGGAGAATTACAGATTCGTGTGGCTATGTGTATGAGTGTATGTCAGTGAAATGAAGGTTTATTGTTCAGTTTTTTTATTATTGTCATAGTATAAACATCATAGCATAAGCTTTATATGACCAGTAAGTATTAGCAGGGTACTTCATCTAGCTAATAGCATATTTAATCTGCTTTTCTGGACTTTTCTCTGTTATTGAGAATTTTCTCCCAGCATTTACTTTTTGATATATTAGTTTTTCTTCTTGGCAAGGTTTCCCCTATCTATAGATCTCATTTGAAGACCATTTGTTTCCCCCTTGTTACCTACTCTTTCATATATCTGTCTAGTAATTCACTTTATTTTTACATCAGATCCCTATAGTAATGAACAATTCTACCATACTTTTATAGCTTGTTTGTATTTCCAAGGGAATTCCCATAGATTTTCATAGATTATTTTACTGTTCTGTTTTAATTTTATTCATTTATGCTTAAACAACTTTATCTCATCCCTTCCTTTTAGAAAGCCCATTAATGATGGTAATAATAGTTAACAATTATTCACCAGTTATTATGGAATTCTTCATAAGGTATATATCTATTAATCCCCCTTAATCTTACAGACCTCTTAAGTATATCTCATACCTATCAGTGCCTCTCCTTTCATGGTTACCATCCTAATCTGATCCATCATCTTCCTTATTTTTCTTTATTGTTTTTTCTTTATTATTCTCCTAATTGTACCCTTTGTTTCTATTTCACCCCTTCTCCCCACATTCTCTATATAGCAGATAAAGTAATAGTTCACAAAGTTGAGATGAATTATGTCATCTCTTCCTTTCTCCCCTTTTAGTCCCTGCAATAAATTACATGGCATGGAGAATAAAATTCAGACACATGACAGATGTATGATCACATTATTCTTACTATTTTTCTGGACTGATGAATAGCAAGGGAAGATAGTACACCTTAGATAGCAGTTCCTGTTATCACTGTAAACCTATAAAAAGACAAAGTGTTAAAACACAAACAAGTTTTCGACTTAAATCCATAGGGTATTTAGGATATTGTTCTGGAAATCGGGTATTAACACAGTAATATATGAAAATTTGCAACTATACAAACATAGAAGAACTTAAGTAAATTTCTGTTTGGCTAGCCCAGTTTTCAGCTGGTTCCCTTTTCACCAGTGTTTGTACAGCTCCTAAAATTGTTAAGAAGCAGAATGTCTGTGATTTTGACAGATGGGTAACTTGGCAGATCTCAGTCATCTTAATTTTATCATCAAACTGCATAGAACCTTTTCCATTTCCTATGAGCATGCCTTCAGTATGTCTGTAGAAAGTGCATGCCTGAATTCACCTCCCTAGTGGTTTCTTTGCTTAGATTCATAGTTCAAAAATCAAACATGGTGTAAAATAAATACAAAACATAGTGTTCTAGGGTTTGTTGCATACACATTTTATATTCTTGTGTAACATTTGGCTTAGATATTGATAGACATATTGTGTTTTCATCATTTGTTTTTAGAATGAAATATTCCCTCTGAGTTATAGTTGGCTGAGACTGGTAATTTTACAGGAATTTTACATAATGTGACATACGACTCAGTTATATTAATAAAGTTGATTTTTAAACATAGTAGTTTTAAGTCATTCTTGAATCACTTTGTGTCACTAGTATAAGTATTTTAATACAGAAGTAAGATAAAAAAATAGGTATTACGGTTGACTATCATGATCCTCAGGATTTGTTGTACATTTATTTTCTTCTTGTATTATAAAGTTGGCTAAATGGAGTGGTTTAGATTTGTTGTATTTCAAATTTGATTACTCATTCGCTTGTTACTTATCTTCTAAACCTCAGTCTTTATCCCTTTATTTTTTTCTAATTTAAAATATTTAAGAAAAGTTTGGAAACGGTGCTTTAAGTAACAAGTCATAAAAATTTTCTGTTCTGTTGTACCTTATGTTTGTCATAATTCAAAACAGCATTCTTTAGCTGGTTGTCATGTGTTTGCAGGAAATGAAAGGGCGTGGGAGGGAACAATTACTGATGAAAATGATCACAGGGTGTTATTGTAATTTTTTTAACCACAAATGAATTTTGTTGGGGGGCGGAAACTTACTTTTCAGGTTGAAGCACTCAATAAATTAAAAACTTTGAATAGTTTAATCAAACTCAATGCAATGAAGCTAAACAGAGCCAAAGGGAAAGAAGCCATGCACACTTGTTTAAAGCAGAATGCTTATCGGGAAGCCCTTTCGGACCTGCAGTCACCTTTAAACCCATGTGTCATCCTCTCAGAACTTTAGTAAGTAACTGTGTACTGAGCAATGCAGGAAAGATTTCTTTGTGATTACCTTAGAAGAGTAGTAGGATCAGCTGTTAGCTCCAGTTAAGTGTCTAATTTCTTGAAGTTATTTTTGTGTTTAATTGCATGTATACCTATAAACTAAATTTACCTGTGGGTCTGCTGAAAGTTATTACAAGTAAATGTCCTTTCAGTTGTATGTAATAAATTTGTTTTATTGTTACTTGTTTCTAAGTTTAAAATCCTAGACATGCAGAATATTGGCAGCAATAATAAATTATTGATTAGTGTATCTATTTCAAAGTGAGACCTTGCAATGAATTCATTAGTAATAATAAGTGTTCAGTCTACTAGTATTCAAAGTTGATTACTATTTAAGAGATGAAGTATAAACTGAACAATAATCCTAATTTTAATTCAGTATTATGTTCTGAGTTTTATTAGCTATATAAAATAAAAGTTAAAGAAGAATAAGGAAAGAAAAGGAGAGTTTCAAGTGTAGATAGTGAGAAGGGCGACTTAGATTGTTGGTTCAGTCCATCTGGCATTACTACATGCCAACTAATGCTGTCACCCAGTTGCTGTCCTACTAAGTGGAAATGTTCTAACCTAATACAGATCTGAGTGGAAGAGGTGAGGGTTTTTCCCCCAAGCTTATTGTACCTTGGGAAAAACATCTTGCTGTATCTTTAAATTGAAATGGACTAATTTTTCCCTTGTTTGATTTCAGTGTTGAAAAATGTAAATACATGGATTCCAAAATGAAGCCTTTGTGGCTTGTATATAATAACAAGGTGTTTGGTGAGGATTCAGTTGGAGTTATTTTTAAAAATGGTGATGGTATGTATGAGGCTTGTGCACAGCCAGATTCCTTAGTATTTTTCATTTGTTGTCAGGTTGCTTTATCAGAAAAGTAAAGTATAAATGTGTAAGACATAGCAGTCAAGGGCCCTCCCTGGTGGTGCAGCGGGTTGAAGCACTGCACTAAGAAGCTTAAACCAATTCCTCATGCATGAGTTCGATCCCCGCCTGTCCAGAGGAGATCCACATGGCGTGGCAGACCTCTCCTGACTGCCCGCTGCTCCCCTCAGCAGTGTACTTCGTCCATCTGCCTGTTCTGCTCCCCACTCTGTTCCTGGTGAATCTTCTCACCCTCTGCATCTCTGGCCTGTACCCCAGTTCTATATGAATAAATAAATAAATCTTAAAAAAAAAAAAAGACATAGCAGTCAAGAAGAAGCTATTATTGGTCATAGGGTAAAATTTGGTGTGTCCTGAATCCCTTTTTCTCCTTTTGGAAAATGACTTCTGTACTTACTTAAATATGTTTTTTTTTTTTTTAGTGAACCATATACTCTTTTTTCCTACAGATTACAAACTGCTTACTTGGGGAAGATCTTGTGAAATACAGGAAAATATTTTCAATAATGTATTCATATATCCTATTTCTTTGATAGCAATTTTAATGTTTCTGCAATAGTTTTGTATTTTAATTAAAATATCTTACTGACTTATAGACCCAGTGCTTGATGAAGGAAATGCCTCTGAAGTATTAACACGAAGTATTAACATGACTGCCACCACTTGTTATTTGTTTTGACTATTGGCACGTCATGCAAAGTTTATTGAACTTTAGGTTCTTCGTGTCCATGAGGATTATAGCATCTTCATGTTAGAGTTGTTAAAAAGTAATTAAGTAGGATACTTAAGTAAATGTTTAGAAATAATATGTGCTTTTAGTTATTTAAGAAAGAACTTGTAGTATTTTTGCTAGATTTTTAATACCACTTGACCTTGAGAATATCATCATCATGTGGAAACGGATGCTTTCCATAACTTCTGTTACCTAAAGGTTACCCTTGAACATGTTAATAAATAAAACCAAGTATTACAGTTCTGTGAAAACTCATCACAGAAGTTACTAATGTGACAAGAACATTGTTTTAATGTGTGCCTAAAACATGCAAGCAGGCCCGCCCTGGTGGCGCAGCGGGTTAAAGCACAGCACTGAGAAGCTAAAGCCACCTCCGCATGAGTTCGATCCCCGCCTGCCCCGGAGGTGACCACATGGCGTGGCAGACCTCTGCTGGCCCACCCGTTGCTCCCCTCAGCAGTGTACTTTGTCAGTTGGCCTGTTCTGCTCCCTACTCTGTCTCTGGTGAATCCTCTCACCACCCCTGCATCTCTGGCCTATACCCCAGTTCTGTATATACAAATAAACAGATCTTTAAAATTAAAAAAAAAAAAATACAAACAGGGAAAATTTAGCTGTGTGAACTGCATGGATGGTAAATACAGCATACTTTGTACCATACAGTACAGTAATGTATGTATCATCCCTACAGTTAGTGAAGCAGCTTATAATGGTATATATTAAAATACCCTTTTAGTTTCTTGAATAGTGTTACAGGGACATATTAACAAACCAAATGTTTATCAGTAGTTTTAAATAATTATGACTGAATTAGCTAATCTTGAATTAACATTACTAGGCATAAAGTGGAAAGCATTTATAATAAAGCACTTTTATCCCCTTAGATTTACGACAGGATATGTTAACGCTCCAAATGCTACGCCTGATGGATTTACTCTGGAAAGAGGCTGGTCTGGATCTTCGGTGAGATACCTACTAAATTTTTCTCTCATGTGTGATCTTAACCTCATGATTCCTTCCCTCCTGTTAATTTATTATTATTTATTGTTCATAATAATACTTATAAAGCATTTTACTGTTTACAGTGTATTCTCAAATAACACTATCTTATTTGAATCTCATTAATCGTAAAACTGTACATATGTTTGAGATTCCAAAAAGAAAGAATAGGTTTGGACTTCTGATAAGTTGTGGATATGGGCAGACAGTAAGAATCACATTGCAATTAATGGTTTTAAAGGAACTCTCAGTAGGAGCCACCGGTGATCATCTAAAACCAATAAGGGGCTGCACCTTTCTTAGATTGCAACATTCATTCCTCTGCCTCTCCTAAAGACAAGTGTTTAGAATTAGTATTCAGGTTTTTCAGCTTTCTGTAAGGGGATGATAGTGAACTGAACAGGTTAAGGGTGACAAAAAAAAAAAGAATAAAATTTGAAAGTTTAATTATTATTATATTTAAGGTAAACACAGAAAATAATTGCACACACAATGTTGATATATTTAACTACATAAAAATAAGATTTGAAGGTTAGCCAACAAAATTGAAAGGCAACCCTCACATTAGGCATTACATTCATAATGAACTGGACTGAAGAATAATACTCATAAATATTTAAAGAGCTCACAGAAGTAAAAATAATATGAAAATGCTATTGTATAGGATGTGAAATACATGTCAATAGGTGATCACTGTTACTTTTAATATAAAAGGTCAAGTTACAGCTAGATACCATTGATTTCTTAGCTTTTTATTTTGTAAAAGCAACAAAAATACAAATATTTTCAAATGCCTTTGTTAATATAAGCTTTTCTTAGAAGCTTATTTTACCATATATCCAACATTTCCAAAATTTACTTTAAAATTAGTAATGCAGACAGAAGTTTGTGCACAAAGATACTCATCCTTGTTTTACAGTTAAAAATTTGGACCAACTTCTTGAACATTTGCTTTATAGTAGAATAATAGTTTAAAAAGTATTAGTTTTTTAATATAAGTGAATTATCTCGGGTATTTTAAAGTACTGTTTATAGAGAAATGCTAACAATTTGGAAAAATTATCTTCAAATATCAAGTGAAATAATTGAGATTCAAAAGCATTTCTTACAACTTTTCCAACTGTGTTTAAAATCACTGCAAGTCACATGAAAACTGTTTGCAGACTAAGATGATCTATTGGACTTACCATTTTTTCTTTTTTAAAAATTTATTTGTTTATGCATACAGAACAGGGGTACAGGCCAGAGAGGTACAGGGTCAGTGAGAGATTCATCAGAGACAAGAGTAGGAAGCAGAACAGGCAGATTGACAAAAGTACACTGCTGAGGGGAGCAGCAGACTAGACAGGAACAGTCTGCTATGCCATCTGCTGTGTCATGTGGGTCACCTCCCTGGGTGGAGATCGAACTTGTACTGAAGTGGCCGAGGTTAGCTGTGTAGTGTGCACGAGGGAGGGTCCTAGACTTTCATTCTCACCCCATTTTTAACATCTCAGAATTAACCACTGTTCTAAAACAGTAGTCATATTTTTTGTGTTTTAACTACATTACTGTATACATTGTATGTTTTGAACTTTGAGTGCTGTCATACCCTATACAATACAGTTTTCTCTCAACATTTTTTGATATTTTCCAAGGTAACTTGACATTCTGATTCCTTAGTTTCACCTCTGAATTAATGCTTTGAATAAATATAAAAATGTATCTATTCCCTTATAAATTTGTGTTCAACCCTTTTACCTCCCCCCTACCCTAAATCCCAGTACACATACTTCTAAACATTTTCTACTTACACATGGGACAGTAATTTAGTTTATATAGTCAGAAGTGGAATTGCTGGGTCAGACAACTGTCTTTTCAATTTAACTGTCATTATGCAAATCCTTTCCAAAATGGTTGTAGCAGTGTTAGGCTTCATCTAAAAATACCTGAATACCTGAAAGTTTCATTTTCTGCATCACCTTACCAATAATGGAATTATTTATAATTTTTTGCAAATCTAATAAGTATGCTATGGTAGCTCATAGGATTTTAAGTTGTGTATCAGTTTTTAAAAATAAGAATTGTACATGGCCCTCCCTGGTGGCGCAGTGGGTTAAAGCACAGCAATGAGAATCCAAAGCCGCTTCCGCATGAGTTCGATTCCTGCCTGCCCTGGAGGTGACCATATGGTGTGGCAGACCTCTCCTGACCTGCCCGCTGCTCCCCTCAGCAGTGTACTTTGTAGATCTGCCTGTTCTGTTCCCCGCTCTGTCTCTGGTGAAGCCTCTCACTGCCCCTGAGCCTCTGGCCTGTACCCCAGTTCTGTATGCACAAATAAATCTTTAAAAAAAAAAAGGTGAAATTAAAAAAAAAAAAGAATTGTACAGTTAGTTAATGTTTCCAAAATTGCCATATTATTTTTTCATAACATGCTCTTTTAAAATATTAAAATTTGTGCTATGTTCAAATTTTTTCTCCTTTTGCATGTCTAAAATAGTTTCATATGTGCCGCCCCCCCCCCCCCTGCCTCCTTTTCTGTCTTATTGTTAGAGTTATGTTGAAAAGACCATTTTTTCTTCACTGAGTTGTCCTGGCACAGTCAAACATCACTTGACTGTAAATGTGAGGTTTTTTTCTGGACTTCATTGATCTACATGGCTGTGTTTATGCATAGTTTTGATTACTATGGCTTAGTAAATTTTGAAATCAGGAAATATGAATCCTCCATCTTTTATTCTTTGTTTTTTAACTGGGAATGTTTTTCTCCTTTTTTTTCCTGAAGAATAGTTTTACTGGATATTGAATTCTTGGTTGATGATCTTCCAGCACTTTGAATATTATCCTATTGTCTGCTGTCTAAAGTCATTTCTTTCTGTACACATGATTCCCTTTAGTAATTTGAACATACTTAAACAGATGTTTAAAAATTCTTGCTAAATATATTCAACATTTGGGCTTTCTTAGGAACACTTTTCATAGTGTGCTTTTTTTTCTTGTGGATTTGCCATATTTTCTTGGTTTTTAAAAATCTCATACTTTTTTCTTAAACTGATCACTTTGTAATTTGACAGCTTTGAAAATGGGATAGTCCTGCTAGCTCAGGATATTTTATTGTTTTTCTTTGTTGTTTATTTAGTAACTTTTCTCACTAATTATGTTAGAATTTTCTTCAGTTCTTGTAATTCTTCATCATGTGTGGTCACTGGCTAGTTTATTGGCCAGCTAATGATTGAACTTAGATTTATTTAAATGCCTAGAATCTGGTTTTGTGTGCATTGGGGCATGCCTTCAGCAGTCAGTCAGGAAATTCAAATAGTGACTTAACCAAGCCTATATAATGCCTCAAAGTTATCAAGAAAAGACTGGGGAGATCATTTGATTTCTTTACTGTGCCTAGGCACAACTTGGGGCATGCATAGAACTCTTTCTATAAACATGGTCTTCTAGATTTCTATGAATATGTTGGAATTTTTCAATGTTCCCTGTGGACATCTAACTTCCAAGCTTCTCCTTAGCTTTTTGGTCAGGATATTGTTTGTGTCAACTGTCTAACTGCAGTGTTAAACAACTGGTTCTGATTACATGATAGTTTTGTAAAAAATATTTGCTGTATTCATTGTGATTGTGTACTCGTAGTTATGAAGTCTTCTGCAGAGTTGGGAAGGAAGGATTGGAAAAGGTAATGGTAACACAACTGAGATCAGCCCTTTTTCATAAGTTAACACTGAAGATTGCTGCAACTTTTTCTAGTAGATCCATAGTGCTAAAGTCATTCATTTTGACAATATTCTGCCAATGTACTTTTTATGGAAGAGTGGATTTTTTCAGAGGTCCTTTAATTCCCATGTATAGGTGACATTACCTGCTTGTATAGAATTTTAAAATCTAATTTAACAGCTGCTTTTTTTTTTATTGGCTTCTCTGCCTCCACCTTTCCCCCTTCTTCCCCCCCACCTCCCCAGTAGTCAACAGCTGCTCTCTTTAGAAGCCTTGAAGACATTATTCTGTAGTATTCTGACTTGTGTTAATTTTTAGAAATCTACATGTGGAAAAAAATCTCTGCCTTTTTTTTTTTCAGTTTTACTATAATTTGCCTTTATTTAATTTTTAAATATTTTTCTTTATTTTTCCTCCTCATTGTAACTTTTTGTTAAAGAAATGCACATCTTTTAATTTCTACAAAATATACATCTATTTTAAATGTTGCAGTTCTCCCACTCTCACAGTCATCATCTATATCATTAATAGATGTAAGTTGGACTTTCCCTCTTCTGTTTCTTAATGTATGTTTCCTTTTCCTTTTCCTTTTTATATTTTTCTGCTATATTTTTTCTTCCAGTTCACTAGTTCTCCCTTAAACATTGTCTCATTTCCTATAAATTTAATATAGTGTTTATGTCAATGACTATCTTTGTGTAGGTCTTGTATTTGATTTTTTCTTAAACTGTTGGTCTTTTTTTATACTATGCTTTTCTTATACATTCTATTCCTTTTGGTATTTTTCATATTTTTGCATCTCTTTCATGTTTGGTTTATCTTTTGGAATTACACTTTTTTGTTTACCTACTTAATCTTATTTTCCTGTGAATTTTTTTTGGGGGGGTAGAAAAATTGGGATGTAGACCAGAGGTCTAGGAGGGTGAGCGGATTCACCAGAGATAGAGTGGAGAGAAGAGTGGAGAGAAGAACAGGCAGATCTACTGAAATATATTGCTAAGGGGAGCAGTGGATGAGACAGGAGAGGTCTGCTGTGCCATCTGTGGATTAGGCTCATAGGCAGGGATTGAATTTAGGCTTCAATAGTAATTGCATTGAGTTTTAACCCCTAAGCCACCAGAGAGACCCTCAGGATTGCATTTTCTAAGAGGGTGTTTTACTCCTTTGGATGTGAAAGTGTTCCCCCCAAATGAATTTGCCTTTTGTTCTGTTCCCCAGTCATTTTTAATTGCCTATCCGGTGCCCTAGGATGGCACTCAGGCCAC